ATTTGAAATTACGAAAAATAATTTTTTTTAAAAATCCTATGGGGGGAGGGGGTGGGTGGTGCATAAAAAAGAAAAAACAGAAATTTTAAAATTATAAAAAAAAAAGTATTTTTTTTTTGTGCGGGGAGGGTTAGTGGGTGGGTGTGGAGTGGGGAAGGGGGTGGGTGGTACAGAAAAAAGAAAATAAATAGAAATTTTAAAATTACAAAAAAAAGTAAAAAAAATTTTGTGCAGGGGTGGGGGTGGGTGGTGCAGAAAAAACAAAAAAATAAAAATTTAAAATTATATATATTTTTTTTTGCGGAGTGGAGTGGTGGTGGGGGTAGTAGGGTGGGTGGTGATTAAAAAAGACTGAAATTTGNTGAGTGTGGGGTGGGTTGGTGAGAGTGGGAAATAGAGTAGAAAGGTTGAGAAGGAGTTTTGGAAAAGGTTTTCTATTCTCTTAATATGGAAAATATTTTCTCCAATTGGAGGAAAATGAGTAAATAAGAAAAATATTTTTCAAAATATTTAAATCAATCAAACATGAAAAAATTAAAAAATATTTTTCGAAAAATATTTTCTTTCATACCAAACACAGCCTAAAAATAGTTGCTGCTCTTATTTATGTAAGAGAAAATTTAAAAAGACAAAATAAAAAGGAGAACAAAAGGAAAGATCACATCAAACGGCAGTCGTTGCGTGAGTTAATAATAAGAAATGTTTGAATTTCTAATTTGGCTTCTTTAGTTGGATATTCGCATATTTACTCTTGGATTCAATTCCACTACTCCATTTGTTTAACCATTTATCTTACATGGGGTCGTTGTTACCATCTTTACCAATTTGACTAATCAATTTTGAAAAATAATTTTGAACAATAATTTTTGTTTGATTAATCTTTTCAAAAAGTATTTTTATATGTCAAATTACAAATAAGGATATTAAGAGATTTGCTTAATAGTTAATATTATATAAGTAAATAATATATAAATAAACAAATAATTATAAATATTTATTATTAAAGATAATAATTAAATATTTTATTTTATTTAAGTAAAATATAAAAATAAAATTAAAAAGTACTTTATTCTTTCAAGATAATTTAAATATATAAAAAAATCATCCAATAAATATGAAAATTCATCCCAAAAGTCATTTTATATTACTTAATAGTTTAAACTAAGTAAGGCTATTTTGGTATATATAATATTTTGTAAAAAATATTTTTGATAGGAAGAAAAGTCAAAACTATTTCTGCTTCTGCTTCTAGAGAGAATCTACTTTTTTCTACTTCTACTTCCAGCCAAAAACATTTTTTTTTCAAAAAAAAGACTTGATCAAACACTTCAAATCGAGAAAAAAAAACTTTTTTTTTGAAAAAATAAAAAATCCTTTGACGTGGCGAGAAGCTTGGCCAAACTATAAGTCCGTTCCCGGAGAATATTAAATATTTAATTACGTAACGCAAATGGGGTTGTTTTCTCTTTAAATCTTGTGGCAGACAAGACTGGACCGTGCAGCTTTTAACTTTATATGTACTCCAGTTAGTACATTGAATTCGGACTGTTTTAATTTTACCCGTAACTATTCTTAATATATATACTTTGACAACAACTTATAAGAACACAAAACATGCATTTAGATATGTATTGTAATTTTGATATATTTCCATGTTATCTTTAGCCAAAAAAAATATTAGGAAATGCAAGCAGACTACGTAATTTCTTCCTGTAACAAAGTGTAAGCAGTCAAACGAGTAGTATAAGTTTCAAAGCATGAAAATGAAGTTGCAAATATGGATTCAACAAGCTACGTACGATGTAGGGCCCTGTCTTTGCTGTTGTTTTTACAATCTGTGCGTTATAAGCTTAGAGAACAAAGACAAAAAATGCAGCATTTCCGTTGTAAAGATTTAGGTATTACAAACGCTAACAAAGCTAGGATTTTAAATATAAAAAAATAAATTCATTAACTAATCAAAGGGTGGTGTTATTTATAGTATATAGTAGCTCCGCCACTAAACACTAATAGCTAGAATATGTACAATTTTTCTTGCTAAAATTCCATAGTGGTGAAAACCGTTATTACATTCTCTACTAATTATAACAGCAACCTACTAGCTACGTACGACTCCTAAACTACGACGTACTAACTACACCAACCGAGAAAGCAGTGGTTTCTGCATTCCTCCGCCGTCTACAACCGTCCCACAACCTAACGACGCTGCCGTCAATAACCCTCATGTCCTGGTAAGAGTACCACTCCATTTCTCCTTTCCTCATTTTCACCGCACTCTCCCAATTCTCAAACAGCTCCTTACTCAACTCTACGCCGCCGTCTTCTCCTTCCTCATTACCGTTACCGTCATATTCTCCACCGGCAATATCTTGCTTAAAATACACCGTTAGTTTCCTTTTTTTTCCTTCTTCTTTGGTCAAAGCAACAACATGAAACATAATAGTAGTAGCTGTTGATATTGTTGCCTGCTGATCAGTTGACTCCCTTTCTACCTGTGATGACGGTGAAGACATAGACGACGTTACCAAAGTTGGCGTCGGCGGGGGTGGAGATGGGGCATGGCCGGAAAAGTCTGCACGTGGCTCCGGTGCAGGTAACGTCGAACATGTTTTGATTCTCCAGAAGCTAATGGCGGCCGTGAGAACCGCGACCCATGTCCAGACATTGTTGACGATAGTAATGAAACCGAAGCTCAAGTAACTGAAAGCAAGAGCTTCAAGCGGAGATTCCAATGCATTCATGTCTTGATCAATTTTCTTTGAAACTTTTCCTGATCAGTTTTCCTTTTCCTTTTCTCTTAGGTAAGTGGAGTACTTTAATGTAGGGAATATATGGGAGTGGGGTGACAAATGTGAGCCGTCGGATACAAGAGGAAGAAGGAAATCAGAGAAGCATATGAGATTAGATGCTAGGAATCGTGAGCGAAGATGCCAAGGCAGATCCAAATTCCAATTACATGGTACCATATTATATATTCCACGTCTCCCAATATAACATTCATTCACTATAAAATTCAAATTATTTATAGAATCAATTTTCATGCTACGTTATAATATACATTTTCTAAGATTAATTTTACTGGTCATCCAACTTATCATTTATTTCACAAAAGTCACTTATCTATTTTTCATCACTTAAAAGTCACTCAACTTTGCCTTTGTAACTTAAAAATCATTCGAGTTCAAATCCTATAAAATATCCTATAAAAATATGACATGACATTAAATTTAATTAAAAAATATAATTATAGTGCCACGTAAGCTTAGATGGACCATACCCAATTTAGACCCATTTCATCCACAATTTGATTTGACCCATAACCTAAATGGGTTTTAATATTTTGAACATTAGAAGAAAAAGAAGAGAACAATTATTTTGTGCTAAAAATATCTTATTTTATTTGTTACGTAATAACCTTAATGCCACCACCTATAATTTCATTAAAAATATGAACAGAACTAGCACATAACCAGTTTTTGCATCCTTCATATCATTTTATAATTTTTTATGAAGTTAAAATACTACCATATCGATCTTACATAACATATAAATGTATCAATAACAGACAAGAACAACAAGCTAATAAGAACCTATTTTCACAAATTACTATTCCATTAAAGTCAAAATATTGCTTATTAAGCAATACTAACAGACAAAAATATTGCTCAGTAAGAAACACCCACAATGAAATTGCATGGTAGAAGTTGTCAATACACACCACAATCGTAGACAACCTATAGCGATAGTTTGGACAAAAGAAAGAGAACGTATTGTGTCATTGACCGTAAATGTACAACCAAAACTTAAAGATAAATTCAAAAGACCTAATTTTTCTTAAATTTCTTAGACTTCTTTTTCTACAAATTAATCACAAAATCAAAGTGCTAGTCCAGTTAATTGTTCAAATATTAATAACCCATTTTGGTTACAGGTCAAATCGGGAAGAAATTGGTCTAACTTAGATATGGTCTATTTAAGTTTATGTGGCATTATTGTTAGATTTTTTAATTAAATATAATGTTGTGTCATATTTTTTATTGGATATTGTATAGGTCCATGCCATGTCTAATGTTCAAAATATTAAAACCCGTTTGGGTTATGGGTCAAATCAAATTGTGGATGAAATGAGTCTAAATTGGGTATGGTCCATTTAAGCTTATGTGACACTATAATTAGATTTTTTAGTTAAATTTAATGCTATATCATATTTTTATAGGATATTTTATAGGCTTTGAACTAGAATGACTTTAAGTTACAAAGGTAAGGTTGAGTGACTTTTAAGTGATGAAAAATAAATAAGTAATTTTTGTGAAATAAATGATAAGTTGGACGACCATTAGTGAAATTAACCCACATTTTCTATAACAACATTTCACTATAACAATTAGGGGTGGCAAACGGGTGGGTCGGGTTGGATATGAACGTGTCGAAAATATGTAATTTTAAAAATGGGGTAAATTATCCGACCCGACCCATATTTAATACGGATAAAAAATGAGCTATCCGGCGGATAATATGAATATCCGTATTATCCGTGGCTTCTTGAATATGATCACTTTTGGAAGAATTCCTAGTATCCCAAACTTGAGAAATTCCCAATTTGAGTCTTTACAAATATAAAAGTTAACCCATTAATTATCCATCTGGTTATCCATTTTCTAAGTGGATAATATGATTTTTATCCATATTCGACCTGTTGTTAAAAAGTTCATTATCCAACCCATTTTTAATGGATAATATGGGTGGATAACTGTTTTTCTTTATGATTTTTGCACCTCTAATAACAACCAAAAAAATTCAGAACAAATAAGACGGTTACGAAGAGGTTTGACCGCGTATATATATATATATATNTAGAGTTCTCCACCCCTAATTAAGATCTTAGATTATAATTTTGGAAATGTGAATTTGAATAATTAAATGGTTAACCGAAAAAAATAGAAATATTTGGAAGTGCAAGGTAAACAACCTTTCCCTTGACAATTCTTTTAATTCATACTCGATATATTTATATCAAATTATTAAATAGATAATATGTGTTTGATTAATAAATTTATATCTTCTCACAATGATTAATTGACAAATAATCTTATTTTAATTTGCAATCATCAAGACTAAATAACTGGTTTTGATACGAAATATTAAGTACGGCAACATGTTTTTCTTTTATTTATACTTTTTCACTGCCGTGACTCATTGATCACATGAAAATGTTTCCGTCCCAGTTTTACCGTTATGTAAAACCTGATTCTCACATCGTGCCGGAATTGCTATTGGCCTATATTCCGTTGCTTTTACTTACTGTAGTGATCGAAATTGGGAATGGAAAATAAATCCTATAATTTTTTTTTGGTTTCGTTTAGTATTTTGAATTTAGATTTTCTATGATTTTCGTTCAATTTATTGGCCAATAATCATACCATTGGTTCATTTCGTTTACTGTGATTTGGTTTATTCATTTTTTTTTTTTTTTTTTTTTTTTTTTGCGTAAGAAATCTCTTAAAGTTAGTAGGCTATGATGTGTTGGAATGATTAAGGATTTAGTTGTTGGACCCAATATTTGGACAAGGAAATTATATATAGTCTTATACTCTCCCTTTGGCTCATATTAACGGTCGTGGTTATTAAAAATAGTTATCTCAAATTATTTGTCATTTTAAAAGTTAAAAATAAAATAAGAGTAAAATAGTCAAATTCCTTTCCTAATTAATATTTCTTAAGGGATATATAAAAGAAAAATACGACACACATAATATGAGACGGAAAAGTATTTTATTCTAGGCGTTAGGTTAAGGTGGAGAAGATAGTGTTTGAATTTGAGGGCATTATATTTATTCCCCATTATTGCAGGTAGTTTTGTCCGAATTGATTAATGACAGGCCAGAAGTTTCTGTTAGTATTTACTTATGGATGATAATGAAAGCGAGGATTTATTATTTTTCTCTGGCTATTAAGTCTATAGCGCGAAGGTTTTTCTGTCCCATTGATCCTGATGTTTTTTTGTAACAAATACAAGTTTTCATATTCAAATAAAACTACAGTTTTTTAAAATAGAACTATTTTGTTAGAAATCTTTCCAATAGTGTATGTACGATAGCTGCCAGAACAATGAACCCTGGTGGTACTCGTACCACTAATATATATGTTAGAATAACTATTAAGTTTAATCCTATTTCCTACTTCTACCCAAAAATATAAGAAAGATAATTAGTTATTTCATCCTTAGCCAATTGGCAGACAAGTGGTTTTTACTTAATTTCGGACTCTTTATTATTCTCAGTTTTTATTAATTTAATTTCAGAGTTAAAAAAGTGGTTTTTGCATCAGTTTATTGCTGCATTTATATTTTCGACCAAAAAATATTTCAACTTTGTATAGTGGTCTAGACTCTAGACTATCATCAACAACTTGGTGTGTCCAGTGTCCATGACCTACAATTGCACCGAATGATGGTGAGCGAAATCTTAACTACAAAGTATTGGGCAAAATAAAAAGTTGGCAGGTGGATAAAAAATAGTTGTATTCCCTAGCTAAAAAGTATATAAAACTTATATAATATATATATATATATATATATATATATATTGTCGGCTATTATTTTGGAAGGGGCTAAAAATAAGGAAAACTACCAGCTATGACCACTTGAAAATACAACTCGAAGATGAAACATAAAAAAAATATGTGTATTACACTGTGTATAATTTATGAATCACATATGTATCATATTTGTATCAAATGTGTATCACATGTATATTCATGTATACCTGTGTGTGTGATATATGCGTGATACGTGTTTGATGCATGTGTCGCAAAAGATTTTTTTAAACTCGATTTTAACTACGAATTTTGATACCAAAATCAATCCAAATCACTTCCAATCTTCCTCAAAATTTGTATATTGACTCATCTATATGTTTTCAATGAATTTTAACCATACCCATTGAAAAAGATTAATTTTTTCTTAGATTTTTGGAGTCTTGTATATATATATTTTTGTATTTCGTCACCTTATTTCCTACCTCATCTGTAACGACCCGACTGGTCGTTTTACTTTCTAGAACCTTGTTCCCCTAAATAAAACTCCTAGAATGTGCTTTTACTATTTTATGACTTGCGGGGGTGGTTAGTTTGAGATTTGGAAGGGTTCGGGTTGAAATCAGAACAATTGGTCCTTTAAGTTGGCCTTAAAAGACAAAGTTTGACTTCGATCAACGTTTTGAGTAAACGACCTCGGAATCGAGATTTGATGATTCCAATAGGTTCGTATGATGATTTCGGACTTTGGCATATGCTCGTTTTGGGTTTTGGATAACCTGGGAGCGCTTCGGCGCCTAATATCAAAAGTTCGTTCTTGAAGAATTTTGAAGTTCTTTAAATTTGGTTTGCAGTGGATTTTGGTGTTATCAAGGTCCAAACATAATTACGAGACTCGGAATAGTTCTGTAATATCATTTAAGACTTGCATGCAAAATTTGGTGTCAATCTGAGTAGTCTAAGTACGTTTTGGCGCATTTTGAGTGAATAGAAGAACTTGAAGTTCATAAGTTTGATTCAATTGGTTTTGGGGTGCAATTCTTAGTTTTAATATTTTTACGGGCGCTCCGAGAGTTCGAGCGAGTCCGCTATATGATTCTAAACTTGTTGTTATGTTCGGGCGGGCCCCCGGGAGCCCCGAGTGTCAATCGGACGAGGCTCAGACCAAGTCGGGAGCTTGGAGCATAGCTAAAGCTCCCAGATCTGTCATAATCGCACCTGCGCTTGGCCAGCCGCAGGTGCGGGCTCGCAGGTGCAATCCACGAGCCACAAAAGTGAGAAATGGAGGGCAGCCCAGAATCCACAGATGTGGAAGATTGGGCTCAAGACAGCTTTGACCACAACACTAGTCCTTGTGTTGGCTTCCGGTTTGGGGATGTATACTGTGTATTGCGATACTTCACGCATTGGCTTGGGTTGTGTATTGATGAAGGAGAGACGAGTTATTGCATATGCTTCACGTCAGCTGAAGCCCCATGATAAGAATTATCCTGTGAACGATTTGGAGTTGGCCGCGATTG